GAGAGAGTGTGCGTGTGATTGTGTGGCGGTGTGTATGTGCGTGCGTGTGGTGTGTATGCTTTCCGAAAAGCAACAGCATTCGTTATTTATTTAGCCAGTGAATGATAATTGATACATTATAGAGCAATATTTATCATTCTGGGATTCGTCACTGACATACATACATATATATATATGTGTGTGTGTGTGTGTATGTGTGTACGCGCGCATAAATATCTGTTTATGTCTCTCTCTCTCTCTGTATATACATATTAGATGTATATATAAATATATGTATATATATGTGTGTATGTGTGTGTGCACATATACATTTTTTTGCATGTATATCTATATTGATAAATAGATATCTATATCTATATACATGTATGTGGATATGTGTGTATGTGCTTATATACACATGTGTGGGTTATTTATGTATATATATACAAGTCATTGAAGACAAGTACAAAAATAAAAAACATATATTGCAAAATGAAATAGGCTAAATGCAAGATTCTGTGGCATAAGATCTTTTATCTCTGGTTATATTTAGGTACTTTGTTGTGCAAAAGGGGAGTTAGAAAGTAACACTGATAAGAATAATGATAATGTTATCAATTATGATACTGTTATTCTTAGGACGATGATTTTATTTTTTTTTTCTTTTAGTTTTTGATTTTGGAAGCTGGTAGGGGTGTACTGTAAGATTCACAGAACGCTTTTCATTAATAACTATTTAGGCAAGATACACCATACAGTGTCTACCAGAGGGTGCTTCAGGTTGCAACACAGGCTTGCGATTCACAGTATCTACTTATCTGAAGAAAAAAAAACTTTTTTTCTAGTAAACATGTACATGGAAATTGGGCCCTAAGTGCTCCGACGAAAATGCATCAAATGATAAGTCACAAACCCCTCTCCCCCACGCACAGGTACGCGTGATGGTGCGTATACATACACTGTGAATGGATATGTATGCATATATACTCATACATATTTCAACAACAAACTACTTCAGGTGGTTGTATGCTTTATGATAACCAAAGAAAATTTAAAAAATAATAACAATAATAAAGAGAAAGTAACTGTTTGGCTGATTAGTATAACCATAGAGTAGCATTATATCAAACGTTTTTTCTTTTTTTTCAAAATAAATACCTCTTCTCTCCGTAACCTGCAGCAGCGCGGCTATAACGGGCGTTGTGATAAAGACAAGGTTGGTGATTAAGGTTCATGTGGCTGCCTCATGAGCTAGTAAGGATATCAGCTCATGGATTCACAGAACAAAAATGTTCATGCTGTGCAAAATCCCCGAGACTTTTGTTTAAGGTGAATCAACTCATACTCATCTCTCTCCCCTAGGTATAAGAAGTGAAGTGTAAAACACATTTCTTCAGAGTTTTCCTTTTATTTCCTGAATAAATATTGGGAATAAATATGTGATATGATACAAATCAGACATATGCAGCAATTATGCTTACTTTGTGAAGCAAGTAAATTTTGCAATATTTTGCAATGCCATTGCAAAATTTGCTAAAAAGGAGTTGCCATTTCTATCATTATTCATTTCCTATTTCCATACCCGTTCCCATTGCCAATGGCAAGACCATTGGTGGCGGCAGAATAAGCATAACCGGCGTTGGGAACGACTCCGATGAGTTCGTTGACGGAGTAGAAGCTCTCAGCTTGAGAACAGTCCACGTTGAACCACCAGTCACATACCAGGTACTGCTGGTTGAAGATGGTACCGTTGGGGCACAGGAACGAGTCCTGTTGGCGCCTGAGGGCGCGGTCCTGGCAGATATGGAACACCTGGCAGCCGGCTTCAGCTGCAGTGTCGGCGTAATAACCTTGCACCGCCTGGGCATCGCAGGAGAAGCCGGTGTCGGGCACGGAAGCCAAGATGGGGTAGTCCTCGCCGGGGACGCCGCCCCCGGGAATATTCTCGGCCAGAGCGGCAATCTCAGGGTCTACTCCGTAGCCTCCGTTGGGCGTGCCATATGTATTACTTGGGGGCGCATAGCCATTGCTGGGAGGAGAGGGCGCTCCGAAGCCATTGTGATTGTCCGCCACAACGACGCAGAGAACAGCTGTTGAAAACGAAAAGTGAACTAATTACTTGTTATTAATAATAGTATTGTTATAACACAATAAAACTAATACTGGTGAAAAGGAAGAATGGCAGTGATGAGTAAAAATTAATAATAATGAGTAATGATATAATATGCATAATCATCTTTAAGGAAAGTTACGTTCTATGATCGGATTTGCTGTCATATTAATGTTCCAAAATCACACTCACCAGATAAGACAAGAGAATGCATTGTTCAGAGGAATCTAGTATCGAGAGACTGGGAACTGTTGCTGAAATGTTGTTAGTCAGCCTTATATGTCTGCTGACCGAGGCACAGCTCCTCCCACTGACCTTCGTGGGCGCCTGTGGGTCACTCGGGGAAATGCAGCGAGTCAGCAATCCTGATGAAAGAGTAGATCTCGATTACGCAAGATCTGGACTGGGATCGAAATTTAGCATCGATTTCACCGTCAAATGAAAAATGTCTGAGAAACAGGAAAGACATCAAAGAAAATAAGCAATTATATTTCTATACAAGTATAGTCAAGTAACTGTTATCATCTGTTGATTCACCTAATTGTAATTTGTAAATGAAATACACATATATTTGTCTTTAATGACTTACTAACGGCCGTTGATGAAATTGGGTATATTTGTGACATTTCGAGTGAATGTTCACCCAGTACAGACACAAATACAGTTACAGTGTGTATGTATTTATATATTTATATTTCTACATTTTAGAGGACGATTTTTTTGCCTTGTAAGCTTTCATTCTGACGTATTAGTAATTTCATATTGAAGAAAGGAAACAGCTATACGGCCTTACTTAATTTGTAAGTATCATTATTTGCCCAAAACTGGGTATGACATATATCACGGTAGGTAAATTCACTGTTATTTATATGCTTACAAATAAACGTATTTATTAATGTAGCATCTATATGTCCCTTAAATAATTTCACTTAATTTGGGCTAGAAAAGAAAGCAGAATATGTATGTATACATACATACATACATATATATAAATTAACACATATATATAAATATATATATATATATATATATATATATATATATATATATATATATATATACATCTATAGACCAGAAAGGAAAGCACAATATGTACATACATATACATACATGTGTATATATACATATATATACATGTATATATATTCATACATATACATATATGCATATATGTATATATATACTTATATATATATATATACTTATATATATATACTTATATATATATATATATATATATATACATATATATTCATACGTATACATATATAAATATATATACTTATATATACATATATGTATTATGAAAAACAATACTCCTTGTAATGAAAAATGCAGTTTGCAGACATTTTAGACGAGGTCGTTGTTTTGGTCAGGAAGCTCTACACTTCCATTCCCTGCTAATGACCAAAGTGTGTGCAAGCTCGAACACCTGATAACATGGCACATGCATAATCTGCATGACTGTTTATCCTGTTCAGGCCTATTTTAGGTTAGAGATACATGACAAACAATACTACTGAGTGGAAAAGCGTGACATTTAGGAAATGCTGGACATAACTGAGTCAATAAGAAGAAATGCTGCCGTATGAACCACGTCGACGTGTGGAGAAAAGCGACGGAGGCAGCGGGCCGTGGCAGGACGCGGCCATAGCCTGGGAGGAGGTTCAGTGCCTGGAAAGTTTATGGAACTGCTGCTTTGTGGATGATTTACGACTGCCGCGTTGAGTATGGGTAAGGATTTGCCTTCGATTTTAGGCAACGAAAGTCATGATAATGACTTGTTTTCATTTGATTTACGCAGGTAGTTTTTTTTTTTTCAGAACTGTCCATTATATATATATATATCATACATACACACACACACACACACATATATATATATATATATATTATACATATATGTATACGTATATATACATATATGCATATTCATAGCTATACATACATATATCTGTATGTATAAGTATGAATATGCATATATGTGTGTATATATATATATATATATATATATATATATATATATATATGCATATATATAAGTATGCATGTATGATTGAATATACTCACACATGCATACATATATATACATACATGTATATATAGATATACTGGTATATATATACATACGCATATGTATATGAATATATATGTATATGTACACATATATATGTATATACACCTATATACATACATGCATGCACACACATAAACACACACACGCATATATGTATATATATACATATATGGGCAATAAGATTGCATTCATATATAAGCATACGTACATACATATATATACATATATGAAGAGAGAAAGATACATACCTATACATATATATAGATCGATAGATGGAAATCGATAGATAGATACAGAATGGTAAACATGTATATATATGTATATTTTTGTGATTGTGTGAGTATATATGTATATGTGCATATATATCCATATGTACATACATACAATATGTTTATTTCTCATATATACCTGATGAAAATCTTTATCGCTTTGTGTGCACACACACATACAATATATTGCCGTCTCAGGTACCATTTCCAAAATCGATTTTTGGAATGACGTAATTTTCATTTTGCCCTTTTCATATGCGATTGCTGTGGCCTCTAAACCAGCGTCGTGAATGACTATGGATTGGATTCATACCGAAGCTCGGTGAATAAAATGAAGAAACTTTAACCTGACATGATATTTAGGAATGTCTTCCATTCGAACTGATCATGTCTTTCACTCGTATTTTTACCTTTGCCACACTGTTGTTATGATAACGTAGGGTTATTATTAAAATAAATATGAAGAGTTGGTCTGAGGAACTACAACTGTGGCAGAGCCGCAACTTTGAATCTGTATTTGTGTTAGGATATTGTTAGTTTGAAAAACGAGAAATTAATGTATATCTCTACATTATTATTGTATTTACATTATCATTGTAAGATCCGCTAGAAAGGGATTCCTTTAAAGCTTGGAGGGTCTTTTGCTACTCTGACTTCCATTTCATTTCCTTCCATTTCCATATCCGTTACCATTGCCAATGGTAAGACCATTGGTGGCGGCAGCATACGCATATCCGGCGTCGGGAACGACTCCGATGAGTTCGTTGACGGAGTAGAAGCTCTCAGCTTGAGAACAGTCCACGTTGAACCACCAGTCACATACCAGGTACTGCTGGTTGAAGATGGTACCGTTGGGGCACAGGAACGAGTCCTGTTGGCGCCTGAGGGCGCGGTCCTGGCAGATATGGAACACCTGGCAGCCGGCTTCAGCTGCAGTGTCGGCGTAATAACCTTGCACCGCCTGGGCATCGCACGAGAAGCCGGTGTCGGGCACGGAAGCCAAGATGGGGTAGTCCTCGCCGGGGACACCGCCCCCGGGAATATTCTCAGCCAAAGCGGCAATCTCAGGGTCTACTCCGTAGCCACCGTTGGGCGTGCCATATGTGTTACTTGGGGGCGCATAACCATTACTGGGAGGAGGCGCTCCGAAGCCGTTACCGTTGCCTCCGAAGCCATTGTGATTGTCCGCCACAACGACGCAGAGAATAGCTGTGGAAAGCAGAAATTAAGTTCATTCTTTGTCAGGGTAACCACTATTATTGGTGTATTATTATAATCGTCATTTGTTATTTCTCTGGTAATAATTGTATTTAGTATTATAATCATCGTTACTGTTACTGTTATTTAAAACTTGACTCTGGCTTATTGGAAACATTAGCGAGTTACATCTTCACTAACCAGAGAAGATGAAAGACTTCATTGTTATAGATACTCAAATAGTAAGAGACTGGTACCTGACGCTGGGGGCCTGGTGGTTAGCCTATATATCTGCTGACTGAGTCACAGCTCCTCCCACAAAATTTCATAATTTCATTTCTGACCGGACAGGTATAAGCAACATGGAAGCATACCTGATGAAATAGCCAAACATGATTATATAAAATCCGTATCAAGATTGAATTTTGTTGGTGGTTCCACGCTGTAAAAGTTTTGAGAAATACTTGAAAGACAACTGATTAATAACTGAATACTGGTGTATATGTAGTTATATGTGTGCAATCTAGAGGTATCAGTGTTAACTGATTTACCTAGCTGCTATCTATGTGTTATAAGCACATTTTCCATCACTGATTATTATCGTGATGTGGTACTAACTATTTACACAGCCACACACATACTGCACACACACATACACTGTGTGTGTGTGTGTGTATGTGTGCATTCATGTACATAATGCACATACACACATTTGTGAACATGAATGAATGCACAATACACGTGCGCGCATATATTTATGTATATATATGCATTTATATACTCTATATGTATGTATGTGTATACATATATATGTATATGCACTCACCCACTCATCCAGACACACACACATGTACGTATGCAAATATATGCAATTATATATAGTACATACACGCACACACAAATGCATACGATATATGATATATATACATACATTGATATGTATATTATATATACTTATATATATATATATATATATATATATATATATATAGATATATAATCACAGAAACACACACACAGAACATTAAGTTCTCGGTCAGTCTGCATTTCAGCCAAAACCGTAGTAAATTTGCAAAATTACCGTAAAACCTGGTTACTTAGGGAAAAAGGGATATTTTACTTAGTCATCGATCATCTATTTCGCCGTTTAGAAAAAAAAGGAAAAAACACCTAATCTAACATAACCATTCTAAAAAGGCTACTTTGCATGGTTTGTAAAAATGTTCGTTAGATATACCGTGTGCAATAACGTTAAGAACTGGAATCTAATAAAAGATAAAATTGTTATTTTGCAGACTAGATTCTCAATGATTGTGTTGAAGAATTACTAGGATTTTGATTCATTTGCAAGGCAGCCGGGCTTAACCAACATAAGATTTGATTTGAATTGAAGATTACGTAAATATACATATATATGAACATATACATTCATACAAATACACATACACGCACAGTCGTGTTTACATATGTAATTGTTTTTATGCACACATATACACTAAAACGAGGTTGTCCAGAATATTATTCATTTGCATGCAGCTGTGGTAAAGAGGTCAATGTTTATAATAATGATGCTCATTCAACAAGTCGGAATTTTCTGTTAGAGGGACGTGAAACAATGAAGCATTTTGTCGCCGTTTTTGTTTGTTTGTTAGTCTGACAGTTTTATATTTATACTTCATAGATATGATGATGATAACCAGTGGTGACTTGATAAAGTCTAAAATTATTATTAAATATCCAAGGTACATAACAGGAATGACTACCGCATAGAGGGGATTGTGTATCAGATCCAAGATTAATGACTAATTTCAACACCTGATCCAATAACGTAAAACTTTCAGAGTTAGATATACAAGCAAATATTTCTTACGGTAATTGACTTCATGGCTGTTGCAGTAATGATTTAAGAAAACTGCTTAGTAAGGCTGTCATCAAAATTGGTAACATCTGTAGAATCGGCCAACATTCGGTATTTAAGTTTGGTACAACTTCAGCCTAGAAAAGGTATTGCAAAATATTTTGATTATTAAAAGGTAGGAGGATGCGATGTATCTTTATTCACAATATACACATGAATACTTTATACTCAGTACGTATTATTCATTATGACTGAAAGGTTTACTTGTAGGAGGTAGTGTATCTGCAGTTTAGATATGAAAAAAAAAATATTCACATACGTAAACACATAGCATTATATGGAAGTTTGTGTACCATCTTGAAATACATTAAGTAAACCAGATAACCTTTACCAATTCCTCAGACACAAGTGGAGTGATATGCATCATTTCTTGCACATTATATTAGTTGTCACAAAGAAATGGGGAATGGCATCGTTGTGCATTCTTATGTGTGAGGACGAAGGATAAAGTATAACTTATTATTTCTTTATTATTATTATATGGCATTTTAACCGGTCCCTATCTGATACAACGAAGCATAAATAAATATCTACACATATTTACAATGCCATTGTGAGAATTGCTATGAGTTCCATGGCAGGAGAAAGAACCGTTTCCTTTCTCTTTTATTTCCTTCCATTTCCATATCCATTGCCATTGCCAATTGCAAGACCATTGGTGGCGGCGGCATAAGCATAACCGGCGTCGGGAACGACTCCGATGAGTTCGTTGACGGAGTAGAAGCTCTCAGCTTTGAGAACAGTCCACGTTGAACCACCAGTCACATACCAGGTACTGCTGGTTGAAGATGGTACCGTTGGGGCACAGGAACGAGTCCTGTTGGCGCCTGAGGGCGCGGTCCCTGGCAGATATGGAACACCTGGCAGCCGGCTTCAGCTGCAGTGTCGGCGTAATAACCTTGCACCGCTACGGCATCGCAGGAGAAGCCGGTGTCGGGCACGGAAGCCAAGATGGGGTAGTCCTCGCCGGGGACGCCACCCCCGGGAATGTTCTCGGCCAAAGCGGCAATCTCAGGATCTACTCCATACCCACCGTTGGGCGTGCCATATGTGTTACTTGGGGGGCGCATACCCGTTGCTGGGAGGATGTGCTCCGAAGCCATTACCGTTGCCTCCGAAGCCATTGTGATTGTCTGCCACAACGACGCAGAGAATAGCTGTGGAAAACAAAATTTGTCTTTTCATCACTATAGTAACACAATAATAGAGATAGTAATGATAATGATAATTCTTGTTACTTGTGATTGGATTTGGTTGCGTATACTTTACATAACTCTATACAAACCAGAAAATATAAAAGATTTCATTGTCCAAGTAGCGAGACAGTGCGAAGCAGGAGAGTGATACTTGTTAACTGGTGGTCAGCCTTTATACTCTCGAGTTACAGCTCCTCCCACAAAGCCTCATTTCTCGCCGATTACCCAGAGGGAAGAAACGAGTTCGAGGTATGTGTAAATCTGGATCATGTAATACCAATGCTGAAGGCGATTTCGCAGCAAGGAGGTATGTAGAACGTATATTAAGTAATTAGCAACTGTTGCTCATTAATCAATTTCGTATATGTATTCATACACACGACTCGCACATGCAAAACATATATATGCACAAAGACAAACATTTATATACATATATACACACACGCGCGCACACGCAAACACACCCACTCACAGGTATTTGTGTGTAGATACATAGATACATACATACACACACACATATGCATACATACATATATATGTATTATACATATATGTATATGTATATATACATATATGCATATTCATACCTATACATACATATATCTGTATGTATAGGTATGAATATACATATATATATAAGTATGCATGTATGATTGAATATACTCACACATACATACATATATATACACATACATGTATATATAGATATACAGGTATATACATGCATACGCATATGTACATAAATATATATGTATACATATATATGTATATAAACATATATACGTACATGCATGCACACACATAAACACACACACACACATATATGTATATATATACATATATGGGCAATAAGATTGCATTCATATATAGGCATACGTACATACATATATATATATATATATGAAGAGATAGATACATATCTATACATATATATAGGTCGATAGATGGGAATCGATAGATAGATACAGAATGGTAAATATGTATATGTATGTATATATTTGGGATTGTGTGAGTATATATGTATATGTGCATATATATATCCATATGCACATACATGCAGTATGTATATCTCTCATATATACTTGATGAAAATCTTTATAGCTTTATGTGCACACACACATACAATATATTGCCGTCTCAGGTACCATTTCCAAAATCGATTTTTGGAATGACGTAATTTTTCATTTTGCCCTTTTCATATGCAGCGTTGTGAATGACTATGGATTGGATTCATACCGAAGCTCGGTGAATAAAATGAAACTTTAACCTGACATGATATTTAGGAATATCTTCCATTCGAACTGATCATGTCTTTCACTCGTATTTTTACCTTTGCCACACTGTTGTTATGATAACGTAGGGTTATTATTAAAATAAATATGAAGAGTTGGTCTGAGGAACTACAACTGTGGCAGAGCCGCAACTTTGAATCTGTATTTGTGTTAGGATATTGTTAGTTTGAAAAACGAGAAATTAATGTATATCTCTACATTATTATTGTATTTACATTATCATTGTAAGATCCGCTAGAAAGGGATTCCTTTAAAGCTTGGAGGGTCTTTTGCTACTCTGACTTCCATTTCATTTCCTTCCATTTCCATATCCGTTACCATTGCCAATGGTAAGACCATTGGTGGCGGCAGCATACGCATATCCGGCGTCGGGAACGACTCCGATGAGTTCGTTGACGGAGTAGAAGCTCTCAGCTTGAGAACAGTCCACGTTGAACCACCAGTCACATACCAGGTACTGCTGGTTGAAGATGGTACCGTTGGGGCACAGGAACGAGTCCTGTTGGCGCCTGAGGGCGCGGTCCTGGCAGATATGGAACACCTGGCAGCCGGCTTCAGCTGCAGTGTCGGCGTAATAACCTTGCACCGCTACGGCATCGCAGGAGAAGCCGGTGTCGGGCACGGAAGCCAAGATGGGGTAGTCCTCGCCGGGGACGCCGCCCCCGGGAATATTCTCAGCCAAAGCGGCAATCTCAGGGTCTACTCCGTAGCCACCGTTGGGCGTGCCATATGTGTTACTTGGGGGCGCATAACCATTACTGGGAGGAGGCGCTCCGAAGCCGTTACCGTTGCCTCCGAAGCCATTGTGATTGTCCGCCACAACGACGCAGAGAATAGCTGTGGAAAGCAGAAATTAA